GGAGTTCCCAGCAGTCTACCACCATTGATTTGAACTGTCAAGCCTTAACCATTTGTTATCAAGGCGAAAAGGGGTGGGCCCCCACTGCATGCTATCGGAAGCTAACAGAATAGGCAAATGATCTGAGGTTGGCCTAGACAGGACTTTCTGATTCATGTCAGGTGATATGTTAAACATTAAATCAGAAGTAACGAGGAACCTGTCTATTCTAGAAAACGAAGATTGTTTCATTTGGTTCCCGCAAGTCCACTACCCCTTAAAAGGCAAATCATTAAGATCAATTCAGTCGATAATGGACTTGAATTTTTCCATTTCAGAATCATTGGAGTTGTTGCCCAACCTTTCAGACCTATGTAGAATCGTATTAAAGTTCCCGCCAACAGTACCTCTGTTACCCCAAGTATTTTTGATCTGTTCAAGTTCATTTCCCAACAAGAGCCGTTTGTTGGAGTTGCTCCTGCAGTAAACACCCACCCGAGAAGAACCAAGTTTCATCATTAGAAAGGTTTTTAAAGAGGCAAGAGAGAGTTACCTCACCAATCTGAGTGTTTTGTCAAGTCACCAGGTCCTTTCTCCACATTATAAGAATGCCCCCTGCAGAACCTTTGGCCGGGAGGAAACACCAACCCGGGTCCACACCATGCCACAGGCTGCACATTATTTTTTCATTAACAAGCTCCATTTTCGTTCTTTGGAGGCAAGTGATAGTTAGCCTCCATCAGCTAATACAACCTCTAATAATAACTTTTTTTCTTTGATCATTGAGACCCCTGACGTTCCAAGAGAGGATTCTACTTGTCATTTATGCATTCAGATTCACCCCCAGTACCGTTGCTCTTTTAATTGTGCCCATCATAGTTAACAGAGAATTGGAGCCTCTTAAGTTCCCTCAATTTCCCATCATTGTGTTTTTTCTTAGCTGTGGTCAAGACCAGCTGATCATTCTGTTTGCCATACATCTTTTTACCCAAATCCAGAAATAGAGATTATGTTTCCATTTCAAATCCAATAAAAGAAGAGCCAAGGTATTTGCTAATGCAGAAAATATTTCAAAGGATCCAGTCAGAGAAGATTTTTGGATCATACCTTTGATTGTCTTTTAGTATCCTGTCCAGCATAGCAATGACTTCGGCCAATTCACTCCCATTGTCACTTTGCGTGATTCGGTCACATCTGATCAGATTCTAGTGTTAGGACCATCAAATCCAAGCTCGAGCTTGAGCATGTTTCTTCTGACAGATTCATAATCGGATTGTAAGAAGAGTTCTGTTCTGTTCTCCATGAGTTTGCAGAAATTGCAAGAGCTGCCATGTCATTTTCAACCCTTTCAGTGGAGGAAGTAGAAGTGAAGACTAGATGAGTCAGGTCGGATAGTTTCTTGCTTACCCGAGTTTGTCCCACACTAGGGTTTCCCAGCGCCGCCGCATACGTTCTATTGTCCGCCTTCATCAGAATGACTGGAAAGCTATGTGAGCATTTAGGACAACAGAGAGAGACCGAGCTGGAAGGGTTGTTTGTTTTCTTTCAAATAGTCAATTTTATTGTCAGTGAATAGAGGTAAATTTGTTTTCTTGCACATAGACAGATTTCTGGTTTCCAATTGTTGGGAGGATAGTTTTCTAGGTTTTATGTTATCTTTTCTTCCTTGCTCAATGTTTGATCATTTTTTGTTCCTATTAGAAACACCAGTCGTTTTGATGGAGTCTTACTCCCATTCGTTTGTGTACAAATTTCTCAAAGAACATTAAGTAGTGAGTGGGTAGAAAGGCTTGTGCTCGGTGGGAATTTTTCTTTTCGAGAGAAAATAGTCATCAGAATGCACTACTAATGAAAAGGAACTTATGATGAATGGCTTAAACCACTCAGGTTGCATACTGGCCCATGAGCAGCAAAAAAGAAAAACAAGCATTTGCCACAAAATGAGCAAAGAAGTTAAAATCTCTTGGAACAAACAGTAAATTGTAGGATCCCTAATGACTTGCTTCAAACCCTAGACCTCAAAAAATGCTTTATTTTCTTTCTGTGTTTTTTTCTTTTGAAATAGACCTCAAAAAATGCTTTCTTAGGATGTTTGTTTGATGTACTTCCATAATTTAGTTATTTTTTATTCATGGTGTGATAACCAAGAGGATATAGAATAGATTATTTTATTCTTTTCTTTTTTTTTTGTTTGTGGTCTCCAAACTTGAGATCTTCATCCCCACACCTTATGTAGTTTTCAGCAGGGTTTTTCATTTTTCTTGAATAGCGTTTTGGATGGATATGATCATTTCTTGAGTAGGTCCGTAGGAAGAAAAGAAACTCAGTTTTGACATTTAGGTCCAATCCAACATGGATTATTAGCCTGTAACTCTCTAGCACCAACAATATCTCAAGGTTAGTAGGGAGATTTTACGAGCAGTTGACTCAGTCCAAAAAGATGGTTCGTAAGTGGATCTCCAAAAATCAGCTTGGGCCGCAAAAGTATCTAATTAGGATCATATTTCTTTAGCTCGGTCTGTCGATGTCAGATCAGATTTCAATACATTGGACATACTTAGTCTATTATTGTTACGAACCCATGTAAAGTGAATGAACAAATAGGGCAAGGTGAGGCTTAGAGTGGCCGGGTTGAGCAAGGGAAATAATAAGTAGAGGTAGGTGTCTTGAGGAAAAAGGTAGAAGATTAGATTTTTAAGCTGAAGTGAATATATGGAATTGATGACTTTTTAATAGAGAAGACAACAAACAACTGCTACAGAAGAGGTACTGTGAGAAGTTGGAGGGAATTAGAGCTACTTACACTATGAGGGGGTTTAAATCATTTATTTAAGGCTATATGTCAAAGATCTTCCTTGGTCTAATGCCCAATTTACATAGTTTGTCAACACGGGTAGAGTTGTCTCTTCCTGTATAGCTAGTATCCTGGTTTCTACTTCTCCATGGAATTCAAAAATTATCCTTAACCACCAAACAGAAATTTGTTGCCGTCCCGCTTTAACCTTATCAATGTTTGGTTGATATCTTAATAATTTTTGTATATGGCTTGATATCTTCTTGGTGCTTGTACTTCATGAATAATTTATACTTTTTTTATTTTTTTTAAAAAAAGGTCTTAGGAGGATAACTTCCTTGGCTGGGTCCGAGAGATTCTTCTTCGTCCTATTTTAAATCAATTTCCTATCATTCTCGAGTCGCGGCACTTGTATTGGCCTTCTACACCCTTTGGTTATGATAATATGTAGTAGCAACATCAAGGAGTTAGAGCTGGAAGGTGGTGCCATGGAGTGGAATCTCAATTCCATAAGGAACTTAAGGGTGTTCATCAGTATTGTATCTCCTTTCTATGACCTTTAACGATATTGTTTTTCTTGTAAAAGATAATAAAACCAATAAGCCTTTTCCTTGAGAATGTACAACTCGTAATAATAAGTCTTCTTAGTTGTTCCTAAATAAGAAAAATGCTGTTGATAATACATAACAGATCATAATTATGTAAATACCCTTTGTTATTGGAATATTTCTGTTTTACGATTTTCCTGTTCTGCATCACATGATTATGTGAAACTTTTTTCACCCGAAATCATTTTCTTTCAATTTTCCTACTCAATGAGGTTAATCTCTCTCCTCCCCAACTCTAGGCAGAAGAAAGAAAGGCAGCATTAAGAAGAATCCCTGAGCAGTATCTATTGTCTGAAGTTCGTCGTATGGTGGAGGAGATGCAAACTCTAAATAAGAAGCTTGAAGAAACGGTATGTCCTACTTTCATTAGTGTGATGCAGTCAAGTTACTAGTTTTTGTACAATGAAATTTCTTTGAACTGAGAATAAACCATTTGTGCATTTTTAGTTTTTGAAAATTTTGTGGTTTTAAAGCACTTTTTTTCTGTTTTGGAAACAAAACGAGCATGTGTTTAGTTTATGCATGTAACATTTAAAGTTTCAAATGTTTGAAAAATTTACATCTAATTATTGGATATGGTTGATCTTAATATAATAATGAGTGTTATTGTTTTGCAATCTTAACAACTGATGTCTTTTTAAGAAAATAAAAGCTGAGAATGAAAATGAATAGATAAATAAAAACTTTAAAACAATTTTCTACAACTAAACAGGTCTTTGCCAGTTACGTAGAATGGTTTGTCAAGACTTGTGAGGCTTGCATATAATTTGCTGATTTTTGTTCTCTCACAAAAGATGGAACGTGTACTGCACTACAACAATATTTCAGGAATTTATGGAGAATTACCTATGAAGAGTACATTAGATATTCTCTAGGGTATCGTGTGAGGCACTAGAAAATTTGCTATTGAATCCTAATTGTTCTCTATTTCTGATGAAGAGACTTAACTTTTTCTTTTACATTACCAACCCAGAGATCATAAATAGGAGGCAGGTTTGATGCGAGGCCCACCTGCTTCATTTTAAATTGCTTTTGTGAATAATTTTGATTATCATGTCAGTCATGCCTAAGTGTCTAGGCCGGAGTTAGCCTCATCTTTCCCTCAGTAGCTTACCACTTGTTTTGAGGTGTTGAACTTGCTGTTAAATTTTTGTTTCTTGCTTAGATGTGTTAGATTTTGAATATAAATCTGTTTTCCAGGAGGCTGCAATTGATGAGTACTTCAAACCAGTTGAGAAGGAAGCCAAGATCTTAATGGAGATGCAGCTTCAAGGAGAGGAAAGGACTATGAAGGAGATGGTAGCTGCTATGCAGGAACAGGCTTTATTAGAGAAGTCTGAAGCAGAAAAACTAGCGAGTATGAAATGTGCAGACCCAAACAAAAAGTAGCAGGACTCGGCATCCCCCACTAGTCAGCATGCGCAGACGAGATAACCACATTAAATGTTGGTTGGCGGCCATAGTAAGTAGCATTGAATTTGTGAGAGTGTATCTCTTTTTACAGCTTTGCAAGTGCTTACAATCTTGAACCACGGTGCTCGGTTTGAGAATTGAGGTTCATAATGGGAATAAGGCAAGTTTGTACCAAAACGATTCTATGTGATGGTCAATTATAAATTTTCTGGCGGTCATACAACTGGTTGTTGTGTGTTGTAATCTAAGAAAGCGATATTGATGTGAGGAATGTTTTCAATTATCATCTCGGCCAGCTTGATGTCGCTAACAATATAAGGAGGAGGGTGAGAGCGATATATGCCAGTTGTTGTCATTTTTGGATACCTGTGTGGCCAAACTATCCCCACTGCATTGCAGAAGCCTCCTGTAATCTCACACCATATTCTTACCGCCATCTTCACTGTAACAGCACGAGTCCATCTCAGTCTGAACTCTCTACACTAATCTTGTGCAATCTTAATATTCTACT